TCAAGTTTTATTCTCACTAGATTGTTTTATAGTCTTTTAGAAGAGTGGTCTTTGGACCAATCAATGAATAAATTGTGAACAACGATCGATAATCAGTGTTGAAATGAACAATCATTCATGACGTTCTGATTATAGCAAAAAGTAAACGCTAAAATCAACTTTAGAGCATTTTTGTGTTTTCGTACTTAACCTAGTTATATAGTTTAAAGACTTATAATTGTATTTTATTGTAGATAAACTTCTATGAACAAAAGCTTGTATAGATCGTTTGACCGAATTGCTTTCACCATGACCGCTTTATATCTTCTTAGCACATGTGCAGCAGCCAATACTGTTAAACTTCCGCTTCACCTTAGCTAATCGTACAATCCTCAATATGCAGGGATAAAAGCGAGCACTACATGTGATTCGCTCACGAAAACACATCTACACCATGGATGCGAAAACAGAATGGTTCCTATGGAAACGCAGAATAGTAGTGCCACTTGAAGCATTACTTGAAGATGCCTATTAGTGATTGTAGAGCGCACAACGCTTATACTGTTCACCGTGTCACGTTCTGCTGAGACTTAGTCCGCCAACTTTACTGGTAAGGCAACTGCGAATTCTCGATTTGGTGGGCAAAGCAGTTTGAATATCGCTTCGTCCGTTTCGCACTTCCTTGCAAAGATCCATAAAATAGAATTCTTTCCTTTCTTACTTTAATATATGTAAGCAGCTTTGGAAACTCCTAATTGCCCGTTTTATATCATCGCTGTCTTTTTCTTATCTTCAGGCCTCGAAATTGACAAGTTGTAGTGATTGTGAGTCTGAAATAAGGAGTAAGAAGTAAACACAACACATCCACATCGCAAATGCGCGTATTTACTCTTGTATGTGATGGAATTACTGATTTTCGTTTTACTTTTCTTTACCAAGAAAAAGATTGTTTCAAGGAACAGCGGCGCTTACAGCGCAGACCGCTTCTAGTCTTCCTCTGGATTTGAAAGGGGTAATCAAACTTTGATCTATTTGCGTTACCCTGAAGATTCAGCGCTTTTAGTGTTCATATGCGTACTACATGCAAAAAGAAGCAGTTTGATAGAACGAGCTACAGAGAAGAAGCGACTTTTATAATTAGAGGGATTATAAGTGAGTTAATTACACAATCTTGAATGCAAACAATACTTGATATTACGAAATTTCGTGCACCGAGAAAAAGTGCCATAAAGGTAAGTCCGCGCTGATTGCGTCATTAATTTGGATGTTCGTTTTTATGGTACGCCAGAGTTCTTCGAAAGGAAAAAGGAGCTGGGCTAATCAATCTAACGGACATTTAGAAGCGTGTGACTCTTTCTGCCTGAGTCAACTTACAGAAAAGAACAGCACCTCTAAGCTAATTTTTTCCCAAATTTTTATTGAGAGGAGTTAAAAGTAGTTTCAAAACAATATGAAATCACTGCAATTTCTGACAGAGGTGGCGATGTCATATCTGCCCGTTTAGGCAAAGGGTTAAGCAAGCATAACTCGAAACAATAAGCTTGTTTGAACCGGCTAAGTCTTTTCATGGACTTTGTTTGCCTTCAGCTGTACTGAAGAGGAAAACAAAGAACTATCGACCAACGAAGCATTTTGTACGATTATTTACATTCCCGCAGCATCAATCGTTTCATTTTATTACAGTAGAACAATTTTAACCCATTGATAAAACAAGTTTAAAACAATCTATAGAGTTAATGGATGATCTGACATATGGGCAGCACTTTTGAGAAGCAATCTGAGTAAGGAGAGGATAACTGCTAAATCCGCTACACCATGAATATTTATTGAAGGGATGATGGGAACTGCTAGAGCTTTCAAAGCAACTTAATCATATATTATCCATATAGAAATATACATAACACACACAGGGCTGGCGCTAGCCATGCGGCGTTTCTGCCCCTCTCGCCCGTCTCTGACCATAGCGCATCGATCGATTATACCAGGAGGTCTCGCCGTGCGCGCGGCCCTCCCACGCTCTTTTCCTCTTCTTTTCACAGTCCATTTTCGTTGTTTACCTTTCTATTTTTACCGTGACCA